ACAATAAAGACGCACAACAACATAATAACAGTAACACACAGCAACCGATCTTTTTTTTCGCATGACAATAAAGACGCATAATTGCAGCAACCGAGACTGTGATCTGTCGTAAAGTTACGCATTTTGTTTCTCACGACGAATGCAGGCTGCGCCTCCGATGTAGTGCACATACCTTGCACGCTGCCACGAAGAAGAGTGGTTAGTACGTACAAAACAGCAGTGAACCCGGCGTAAGCAGAGCACGAGAGTATACGTTACTATTACTATTATTATTATATTATATATATTATTATTTAGTTCAATTACGTAGCAAAAATGACTTTCGCAGCCGCCATCACCTCTAGCACGACGTAGGAGCACGTCCCCGCAGTGCTATTGTAGACTGGCGCTTGTAGCTCCTCCTCGGTCGCATTGCATGCGTACTTCACGCCCAGTCTGTTCATGCACATCACCGGTGTCTCCATCTCTATGGCAACCATCGACTCATTCGAGTAGAGCGTCGTCCGACTGAGTGCGGTCGGAGAGGCGCCCTCTGCTGAGAAAAATTTGCGACCAAAACTCACTACCTTGTTTCGTGATTCACGGGTAAACTGCACATTACTGCGTAAATTACGACTGTGCCCAGGCATCATCACATTGAACTCAATACAAAATCCAACGCGCATCTAAGCATGCACATAAATAAATATATAATAGTAATAGGCACAATGACACATACAACAATACACAACACAATACAACAATACACATAAATACCTAGAGTGTACAACGGGAAAACGGGAAAATAGTGCTATTTCACTGCAATATTATTCTACTTTGTATGCAGTTCTAGACTAAGTTCATGGTATTATGTTAAGCAGCATTCTTTGCTCTCTAAAATAAGACCAACCGCTTGTCTCTACGATACTCCTAGGCCAAGATATTGGAGCGTAATCATGCCTCCCACTTCCCCTCCCACAGGCCTCACGGTGCCTCGCATCCACAATATTCACTATCCTTCTCGCCTTTTGCGGGTCTGGCTATCGTTTTCCGTCGCCGCTTGGAGCGCTGATAATTGATGTCACATGCCCAAAGTTAGTACTCTTACTACACCATAACTGAGCTGCGTTGTAGAGACTTAATTTAGAAAACATTGCCGGCTCCATCATGACGGGCATTAGCCGTGCTAGGGAAGATAATGGGAGAGAAGGGCATATAGGCAATGCCCCCGAAAGTCACCGATGATAACCGAAACGCTGTTCATTCATAAAGTTATCGCTGAAAAAACCGAACTCTCACGAAGCGACTTTCCTAACCCGCAAAAGGCGAGAAGGATAGTGAATATTGTGGATGCGAGGCGCCGTGAGGCCTGTGGGAGGGGAAGTTTACAAGCCAATATCTCAGCCTAGGAGTATCGTATTGACAAGCGGTTGGTCTTGTTTTAGAGAGCAAAGAATTCTGCTTAATGCAATACCATAAAATTATTCTAGACTAGCAGGCAAAGTAGAATAATATTGCTGTGAAATAGCACTATTTTGCCGTTTTTCTGTTGTACACTCTAGGTATTTATTAGCTCTTGATAGTTGATACTATTCCACACTAGCACTGCCATTAAAATTTGAATGATGTTGTACGAACCAGTAGTGGAAGAGCCATTGCTGGTCGTAGTTTCTGTTGACGGTTGGTCGCTGCTGTTAGAGGGTGAACTAGCTTCAGATGCGGATTCACCACTAGGTGGCGTGGTTGTTGATGGAGGCGTAGTGGTGACATTCTGTGTTTGCTTGGCTGGCACTGGATTGCTAGCAGCTGACCTCTTTAACATAGCTGGATTCTGAAAGACAATCGGTTTATAAACACGGCAATGTTTGTATATGATAACTCTGCGCCACAAATATAAATACTATTACGTACCAATCCATAGCATAATGAGTTGAATGCATTAGTTTAACGAGTATTGCATTCTCAAAATTTCTGACTACTGCACCGATCGTGTGACAGCACTGACACAATCATATGCCAAGTGTTGCATTTCATACCGCGCGAAGATTTTTAATGAACTTACGGGAACAATTTTCATGTCCCGGTAGTAGACCCTAGTTGCTAGAGCCACTTCCTGTGTGCAGTCCATGGCAACATCCGCCAACAATCTCACACATTCATAGTCCTTGTCATATAAGTATGCTGATAACAAATGAAATATACCTGGTTAATTTGTTAATTCCATTCCGCTAGTCCTTTTCATATTAGAATCTATTGTAATTTGTATTCTACTCTCTGTGCCTACTTTACCATACACTGACTACATAGCGTACGAAAATGTTATGTGCTTTCAAGAAGATGGTTAGCAAGCATCAGACAGATCTCTATGTGCACTGTTGATGCTTTTACAATCGCAGTAGGTGTCTGTGAGTGGTTAACATATTTCGGCTAATGAATACAAATACATACGGGCAGTGTTTCCATCGTCACACTGTTTGGTTGTCAGAGGTGCAGGCAACCCTAACATTCCAACCACGTCAGCATCGCTTACCGTGTAGACAGGGTCACCCGCCTAGAAGCAGAGATGGAAAATTGAACCCATTAACATTAAACATGGCAATGCGAGCAGGTAGCGTGTATTACTTGATTATCATGATGATATTAGTTGAAAATGATCAATTATGATAGAGCTTTACAGCAAAATAAAAACAATTTTGTAAACCTACTTTTAAAACAAATGATTAATCATATATGTAACCCATCAATATGATCTAGATTGCTCACAAATTACTTTACCCACAGTCACGAGTAGCCAGCTGCGAATGACTATTTCAAGGCTCACCTGATAATGTTGTTTCACTATTTCAGGCTGGTTGTTTGTAGATGAAAAACTGTACGATGGTCGCGCATAAAGATGCTTGTATGTATCAAACTCTTCTAATGTTTCTATCATATCAGGGATGGTGTAGTAGTTTCTCTCATCGTCTGAATAATTATACGATTATATTTAAACATGCTACAGTGCACATTAAAACGCTTCGAGATAAGTGTATCATGCATACATACATGACATCATGAGTGAATAAAAACAACTTGTAACAGTGAGGTTTTACAAATGGTTTTTCATTATTTGGGAGAGCGTCCACTTTCGTATTGATATTTTGTACGACACATAATTTACATTATCTTTGATTTAACAAATTGTAGTAGTTTCTAATAGAAAAATATCAAAACATACACTTGTACTTACAATTATCAAACATGATACATAGAAGGCCATCCTGAGTGAGGTTAGTTTTGTACTCAGAGTTGTTGGTGACTATCATTCCTTCGCGGAAGCAGTACCTCTCATTGGTTCTGAAAGGTAAGCATTGATAATTACTTGTTTGTGTGCATTTGAAATCATTTATAACACAAAATACAGTCAAGCTTGTGCTAGAAGTCATCTCTATAGAATCTTGAAGTAATCATTCTGACTTCATGATTACTCCAAGATAGAATTTAACCTTGCTATAAATTACACTTTTGACACTTCCCTCAGCAGATTACACAGATGTGTTACGTTATATACCCAAAATTGCCTATAAAGAATGGACACCTGTCTATATAAGCAGGAGCTTTACTAAGTATTATTGTTTTGAGAGTACTAGGTATATGAGTAAAAGTATCTGGAAAGATGAGATGAGACCCAAAGAACCTCATGTTAAACAGCCATTGTTTCATTAGTCTAACAGCCTGGTCAGGTTATAAACCACACAGCGTTATAGTCACAATACACAGCTAAACCTGCTGTAATCCTAGCTTCTCACGAAGCCGCTGACCAAAGGTAACTAGGAATTTTACCAGAGGGACTCTTACATACTAGTTTGACTGCACTGCATATGTACTATATTACAAAACATGGTTCCACTACGCACACAGTGAATGTATCATGTTCTTAAAAATATTAAACTAGGAATTTTTTTAAATCACACGCCTTTTTCCCAAAATGATATCACCGAGAAGAACTTGATATTTGAATACGGCTAGACAAAACTCCACGCGTAAGCTTATGCTACTTACGTAAGATAGTTATGGTCAGTGCAATAGCTAAAGGCTTGTCTATCGAGATCGGAGCAGTCCGTATCACAACAGCAATTAACATCACACCCAGCTGATGTCATATCACAGGTACACTGACCAATATCTGCAATAAAGTTATCATTACATTCGGCTCCTTAGGAATGTATTTCTACATTTAAGAGATACATGCAAGGTTCATTTTAAAAATGCTTACCAATCACCACCACAACTTACCATATTTCATCACAAATGCACATGTTAAATGAAATATATAGGACTGTCATCGATATCAACGGCCCAACGCCATCGATGTATATCGCGATGGACTTGTGCGTGATATCAGTGGTGGATCTAGAGAGGGTGGAAGGGGGAGGGGGGGGGTGCAACCCTTTTCCTCTTTCTTTCTTTCCTCATCCCCTTCTTTCTCTCGCTCTATTTTTCTCTAGCTCTCCCCCTCTCTCTTGACTCTTGTTCTGCAACCACCTATCTTGACCTCGCCATAATGCCATGACCTCATCAATATTAGTATTTAAAGTCCAAAGGGCTACTGTATAAGCTGTATATTTCGTGGTGTCTGCGAACGAGTCCTCGACTGCGAAAATAACAACACGCGAATAATTCATACTAAATAATACCCAATAATTAATAATTCACCGACCGCAAAATTAACCACTCGCAAAATTGTCCGTCAAGTCTGAATTCGATATAATATCTGTACGCTAAAAACATGGTGTATACAGTATATCGAAGATAGAGAGAGACAAAGTTGAACAAATAGATACATCAACACTGCGAACTGCAGTAGAAAAAGCTTAAATTTTGCAATTCATCAAATAGGATCAAGAGAATTCCAATATCGGATGACAGAAACAAAGAAACTAAACTTAAAGGGATCCATTGAAGTTGGCAGTGGCACATGTCGAAAATAATGATCATGCTCAGATCTGATGATCGAGTGGTACGAACAGCCTTAATTAGGCAAGAGGGAATGCCAAATTTCACCTGACCATAATAAATTTTATGAAAGGTTACAAGTTTTGCATGATGAAAGCAGACATGAAGTGAAGAGGAGGCAAATTAACATGAGCCCAAACAACCTAGGAACTATCATGATAACTTTTGGACACCCTTGCTGAATGGCATCTAATTTAGAATAGTTCCCTTTTGTACTTATCTTTGTGCTTATTGTATTATGTGGAGTTAAGTAACATCCTTAAGAGCAAGTAATAAAGTAGTCACCATAAGGCATAAGAACGAGAGTCTGACTCTTGTACTTATCGCGAGTACATTCTGTGCGTTGTAAGTCATATTATATTGTGACGCGATTCTTACCATGTCTATTATCTAAACAGGATTACGTTATCGTGTAGCTCTGGTACCATAGCACTAGTTGGTTCTGGCTGTGGCCGATTATCCACTGCCAGTGTATTTTTCCTACCTGTGTTTGCTGGTAGAGGTGATGGCGTGGGAGTCGGAATTGACATAATTGTAGTGCTACTGCTAGTAGTTGTGGCCGTTTTTGGAGCCGGTGTAATAACGCGCTGAGTACTCGTGTTGAGTGTGGGTGTTACTTGTGTGGTCGACGATTCATTATCTGCTTTAACTGTCGTTAGGTTATTATCAACCTTTTCTGTTACAGAGCCAGAGCCTGAGGCAGAGGTAAGTGTGGTCGGAGTCGTGGACAGGTTGTTTTCGGCGTCACCTAACAACGGCGTGGACATATTCGATTCATTTGAAGATATTTTTGAAAGAGTTGAATTTTCTGATAAAATAGCTGATGGCGTAGATTGGCCTACTACTTCTAATAACTGTATGCACACCAATAAGGAAAACAAAGAAAATATATGTGTAACACGCATATCGCTCTGTGTTGAATAATTCGCCATTTAACCACAACACCTGACACTTGTTACGAACACACAGGATCATGGGACTAGACTAAGAGGCCCAAATGAAATTTTCCAGCTTTAAGTAGTACTTTGGTAGTACCCTTAGAAAATTATGTTATCGCAGTAAAAGCTTCATAATATGTGTAAAATGATAGTATATTATAGAAATAAGTGTCATTCAATGTGATATAATCTTGTTAAGTCGACCAGATTAAGGGTACATCGCATTTTGATCAAGGCTCCGAAATTTCCTTACGGAGCTCTCTTCAGACGAGAGCGGCAAACAACAAACGCCGGTGTCTGTCTGTTATTGAAGGTTCAGCGTAATGTATGTATACTCGTGTGCAATCATTTTTGTATGAAAGTAACTTCGAAAATTGTCAGCACAGTGCGTAGTCGTGTTTGAGTGCATCATATATGTATTGAAGATATTAGTTTTATCGTTGATATCGTTTAAGGAGCTCATTTATCATGTCGAAAAATGGGATCATCGAACTTTCGATGGGGTGCGATTTATTATGGTGCCTGCTGCATTGTACAGCAGGCAGCCGTGTTTGACGATTCGCTGCAGCCGTACAGCAAGTCATGCGTCGATAAAGTTCACGCTGTGTTTAAGTCGTGCGCAAAGCTGTGAGAGGGCTTGACCTTCCATAATTGAGTTCAGCGTAAAACTTTCGGTGCCAAATTATTACGGCGCTGTATTTATGAATAATTAATCAATTGAATTATGTTAGATAGATGTCATTGTTAATTCAATAATTGCTAATGCTTGATTTATATGGGGTTTAACAATATACATATAATAATATTAATACTACTACTACTACTAGTACTACTAGTACTATTACTATTAGTGCGATACTGTATTATAGTCAGCACATTTCCTAATGGGGTAATGCGTGTTGGAAAATAACTTTATGAGAGTAGAGTAACTAAGAGAAGCAGAGGTAGTACTAAGTGAGGTAGTACTACTAGTAGTAAGTGAAGGATGAAGTATCATGCCTGGTTTGGGTGACCATGCAGGACAGCTCAAGACAGAGAAGGTTGTAGGAAGATTTGGTGCGACATCTGATGACGATAAAGATGATGATGATAATTAACACTATAGATTTAATTATATTAAGGTATCTAACAGTTGGCGTGGCATAGCATCAGAATGAGATTAACGTATCAGAAAATGTGTGTTTGCTAAACTGTCTTTTGAAATATTTTAGAGCTTGCTGCTGGTATCCAACCACAACCAACCAAGATGCCCACTCCTGGATGCAACTGGCCAGTGAGTCCTGTCGTGCACAGCATGCCGAAACTTATCCCTCACTGCCAGGAGACTTTGGGTGCAAAAAGAAAGGCCGATACTTATGAAGAGGATACAAATATGATGGTCAGTGATGTACAATCTAATCGCTTGCATTACAGACAGGAAATTACATTCATGTCATCACTTAAATTCATAATTTTTTAATTATCATGTTATATGTATAGTCTGTAAACTATTATATATAGGATATAATTACACAATTAACAATGTGTCATGTATAAAGTACTATAATACCTGCTTATATAAGTGACAGTGTCTACGTGTAAGCGTACTGTGTGCAACTTGTTGCTTCACTGATGCTCAGGAGTTTCGCACGAAGCGGCGAAGATGCTGGTTCCAGAATGCTGGCTTCGGCGATTCCGTGGAGGCTGAGGAGGAGGAGATTAACCATAACAACGCATTGATGACGACTCTCCACTCAAGCCATGCTGAGCCACAGGCTTTGCACGCAGTCGAAGTCGATGCTAGCCACGAAATGGTGCGTATTTTTCACAGATTCGTTATTCCGTACAATTTTGATATGACAGGGTGTTTAGCAGGAAGTCATTGTGAGATACTGTCGGAATTTTGGGTGGGGTGATAAATACAACTTCATTACTTGGGTCATTGAATCTGTTTGTTGAATTTTATCCTAATATTACGAGTAGTTTTATTTTATGACAAGTCAGTTGAAGTAAATCTGTTAGCAACAGTTTTGTCAACTGGCCTAGCTGTCTCTATCAAGCTGAAGCTTTATTACTTCATTATTCATTACAGTTGTTGCTAGTAGAATGAAGGTTTAGAAATGCACTTGTAGGAGATGGATGATGGTGCAGCTGGGGATTGTGTGGTTGAGCAAGTTAGGGACTCTGCACTGCCCTCACCACCGCTTAAGGAACAGGAGGCCTGTGATGGCATGGACAGTGATTGCACTCATAATCCTACTCAGTACAAGTCTCCAAAGCCAACGTCGATGTGCCAAGAGTATTGTGGGTGAGTTGGCAAGACATACAGTTATGTCTAGATGATTTATATTGGATATGCTCAAACAAGAAAGGTTTGGCAATGGTCTGAAAATAACAAATTATGATCGGAGCCACTTTTGTGTGCTTGGAATACATTAGATATGTTGGTGTGGTGTGATTTAACAGAAATATTAATATGTTGAGCTTTACTGGCTAAATATGTGTAAATTATTTCATTTCAGAGATACCAGCCCTACCAGCGGCAAAGTGCGATGTTACTGCAAACCTTCATGGGAAGGCCTAATGTATCTTAGACCATTTGATACTGATATTTATTAACGTATCATCTTGTTTGCAACTGTGTTTGTCCCCGTGGAATGACATTTGTCTTTTTATTTTATATACAATAATTTTATTGTGTAAGTATTGTGTAATTGTTGAATATGTGGTAGAGTGCGTGAGTGTATGATTAATTACAGGTGTGATAGTATATATTGCAGCAGATATCCACAATGTCCCTCTAAGCTTATGCGAGATTTTTTAAGACTGTTTGTTCTGGTAATATTACACAAATTCTTGACATCCCCCCTGAGTTATCTTTTCCCGTGTGTTACGGAGGAGTACACATATTCCAAATGATCTTTTAACGGGTGCAGCACGATAAGCAAACAGCCGAGCATAAATCATTAAAGTACACTGTAATAATACAGTTGATTTACTTATCCCACTTGGTCCCCAGTAGTGGTGAGTAAAGTGCAAACTTGATTACGTGAAAACCTCTGGGGCAGATCAGCCCGTAGCATCAAACATCAAACGATAAATAACAGGATATAGTCGAGAAGTAATTCTTCACGTTAACTTGGCTGTGACTGGCACAGCTCCCTATTTCGGCAGTGGCAAGACGGGGTAACTACTCCCATGCTACTTATAAGCTTTGTAGTGGTTCATGTGCTTTGTATTTCAATCCAGGCCTGGTGTTTGAAAAAAATTCAAACGAGGTTTCTCGTCTTCAGAATGCTGAACTCTTGAGCTTACACTACCATTAATTTTCTTAACGGTCTAGGTGAGATCGGTTTGAATTGAGCAAAATATTTACATTCGTTGATATGAAACTTCAGTGTTGTATCTTGTTTTTTTTTATTGTATCTTATCATATCGCAGCTTATCATTTTTTATGAAAATGCATATCGGTGCATTGCAGATTTTAAATATACAGGCAGTGGCAGTGGCTTGTGCAAAATATTTGGAGATCTTGAATATCGAAACCTTACATGTAGTGGACATCTTGTGAATAATTACCTCCGCCAAGGGGTTGGCAGGAGGTTATGTTTTCACCGGCGTGCGTTTGTGGGGTTGTTTGTGTACAGCCTAACTGAAAAAGTTATGGACGGATTGTCATAAAATTTTCAGGATAGGTCAGAAATGGGCTCTTAGAACTGATTAGATTTTGGTCGTGATCCGGATCCAATTAATTAATTAATTAATAACATTTTCAAGATAGGTCAGAAATGGTGTAACTTAGAATTGATTCCATATTGGTGGTGATCCGGATCCAATTAATTATTTAATTAATAAAAATTTTCAGTGACAGAATTGAGCTGCCTTGGCGGAGGTCTGTGCTCTCCGAGTGCTCTAGTTTTATTAATGTATTTACATCTGTGCTGGCGTGGGATGTGTATGTACGTTAACTGTACTAACTTTAGAACAGGTCAGTGGTATTGTTGCTGTGTTTTGATATCTGCTATTTGAACTGTTTGTTATATATAAAATTACTGCATTTAAAAGAGCTAATGCGAAAATGTATGTGACACTATTAATTTAATATTTAGCAAGAATTGTGTGATAGTATCTCCTTGTTGCTACAATAACCTGTTTAGTTTCCACATCACCAAAAATGTTTAGCTGTAATAGACGAGGTATGTAACGCCAGTTTGATATTATATACAATGTTATATAATGCCCTTTTTATATACAATGTTGTAGACAAAATAACTGGATTCGTACCAGAATATATATCTATAGACGGTTACCCGTAGATATCATTTTATCTGGCATTTGTTTTACCATCATTTTAATTAAGGACTACCATTGGCAGCTTGTGCTCTCGATGTGTTGTGAATTGGATCAAATTGGATGAAGTGTCTTGGTCTATAAATAGCTGTAAAAACCAAGGACAAGTCATATTTAAGTTTAGTTTCCTTCGGGGTTAGCTATGACTACCATAATCGGTGGGATTCTGCATATTTGGATGTCTTGTGGAATTCAAACTAAACAGTTGCTGTAATTATATCTTTCAATGACAGCAATATCCTATTAAAAAAAATTATCAGAAATTTGGCATTTCATATACACACGTTATTGTTGGATGTTTCTCTATTTGTAGTGTTGCAGTAGAAATAAATGTAGGATAGGAAATGTAGGATTAACATTTTAGGTACAGTACTGCATTACAAAACTACCTAAAACAAAAGATATACACTTTGAAAGATAATACGTTTTGGTTTTCTTGTTTATGAAAGAACACCTGGAATGTACTATGAAACCTGGTTATGCAAATATGACGTACGTAGATGATAACATCTAACGATGTTAATAACAAGAAATAACTTTGTATTTTATCAGTCAAACATTTACAGCACCTTTACAAAATTTTATTAGCAATTTCACAGATTAACTTCTGAAATTTCAGTGTGAAACATTTGGTGATACCTTGAATATGAATCAATGCAATAATTTTCTATATAGAATAGACTGTCACGCATAGAAAAGCATAATCATTACGTTGCAATTTTTTACGCTGTGCGGGAGAGTATAAATATCAGCACACGTCTGAGCTGTAAAAACACTTATCTGGCAAACCACTTAAAGGCATACTAAGCCCATTGATTATGCAATGTTGACGAATGCTAGAGTAACTGGCACCTTGTGTAGTTAATAAGTACATAACCTTACAGCCAAACGCGTATTAGTTTGTCCAATATCACTGCTGGTTACATTACAAGCAAGACTTGAAATAGGTTGTTGATATTCATTTACGTGCCGTAAATGTCATCCAAGAGTCAAGCGATGACGTAAACGTTTGTGCGGCCCGTATGTTTTGGACGCCAGATGAAATGGAGGTGTCAGCGGTGTAACCACGGCCTCAGACTAAACATGGAAATGTAGTAAAACACGTACTAATCACAGACGCACATGGACAGCCCTGACAAAAAGTTCCTTATCACAAGCATCCCTGTTTACGAAATCACTGATGATAGCATTGCGTACGGCCGAGCATGCGTGCGAAAATGTCCGGTGCACTATAAATCTTTATCACACCCGCTTCGCCGGCAGCGGTTTAAAACTGTAAACAACTGATTTCTTGGACTGCGGATTTCAATTAGACATTTCTTAGTAATCAGCAGTAATATTGGACAAACTAATACGCGTTTGGATGTAAGGTTATGTACTTATTAACTACACAAGGTGCCAGTTACTCTAGCATTTGTCAACATTGCATAATCAATGGGACTAATATGCCTTTGAATATAATTTCAATCATGATTCACAGTGAACCAAAGTTTAGACCATGTCTGCAACTCTCTGCTTTACTCCAACATTGCACTGCTTTCACCACCTGCACCATCTTCTTCTCCCATGGTTCCCTCTTCACCTCCATGGCCAGCTGCTTCTGTCAAGTCTAGATCTTCAAGCATTTCTGCCAGTGTGATTTGAGGCAGATCTTCATCACCAGTGTCATCTGTATCAACTGCCATTTTGTCTCGGTCTGCAGAGAATTTCATGTACAAGTTATTCACCGATTGCTTAATAAATGTATGCATTAAACAATTACAATTACAATTACAATTGTCAATGACACCGCAGCTCACCACAAAAAAAGACACAAATGAGTGAGTGAGAAGAAGTCAGTTTTAATTGAGCAACCATCGACGTACATTATAGAAACGAAGAGTATATATGGGAGAACTCCCATTATATACTCTTGATAATTATACATGTGTAATTTTTTATGTGAAAATAAATGTTTGAGATGTGAAAGTCTGAGATGAGGGCGAGTGATGGCGTTACACCTAAATGATCGCCATTTAACGTTTTTATAATATTCAGATTTAGGCACTGCCTAAAAGCGGAGCTCCCGATGTCTAACGTGTAAGATTGAGAGGATACGCTTATTCCACGCAGCTGCTATATACCACGTGACAATGGTGTTTCCCTGCCCATAACACAACTTTTGTCAAAGGTTAATTGGTTGCATGGATGTGTGTACTTCGTATGAGTTTTTCTAGGCGGTAGCACACGGTTGCCATCTGTATATCGCAATAATTTATAAACCAAAATGAATCACAATTTGTGACGGTAGATGGCGCTATACCCGCTTTGATGTTTCTTAGTGATGGCGTTTGAAATAAATAGGTTATGCTGCGTTCCGACATGTTTTGTAAAACTTTACTCTAATATAGACGTTTTATCGGCAGGGTGGAGAGGAAATACCAATTTTGCATTAAAGATATTGTCAATGAAATCCTGTAAAACGAACCAGACGAGTGTGACACCACAGACTGTTATCTGCGTGTCTATATTATAATATGCTATATAATTGCAAAAACCTACCTAATTTGCACAATTATTTTTTTTAAATATCAAAACCCCTAGCCCTTATTCATTCACATACCAAAAATGAGCAAAATCCGTTGAACCTGAACTGACTAATGGCAATTCCCATTTTTGCCAAAAAATTGCCGTGGCTCAAAAGTACGTCGACTGGCGTGCTCCAAAATAGGACGTTCAATATGGGAGCATAGCAGTAACAACTATAACCAATTTCAAACATGTGGGTCAAACGGTTCCTGAGTTATCGTTGACCGTAGCCAAATGTTGACGGACGGACGGACGTACGACGGACGACGACCCATGGCAATAGCTCAGCTTGACGATGTCAAGGTGAGCTAATAATAATAATATTAAAATTTGGTTTTCTATTCGTTAATTATTTCCCATACTCGCAGCTGATATTTTGGTGGTGAAATTCACAATCAAATATTAATCGAAATGAATTTAAATGCTAGTGTGTTCTTATTGTCATAGTATTCAGGATTGATCCTAATTTGCAGTAATTTGCCTGAGAAAACCTTGAGGCAACAAACAACGGCATGCTTGCAACGCGCAGAGTATATTTATAGCACGCCAGCATAAGGCACAACAAATCATGAGCAAAAATATAGCTATGACTAGGTAGTAAGGAATGCATTTAGAATTACACTGTATAAAAGGGTTCTGGGCTATTTCCACTATGTTCCTTGAGAAAATACATGATGAAACTTTTCTTTCAAGAGTAAAGTATATTCCTAGAGGGTAAACTCTATGAACATTTCAATGTTTTTACAAATGAAAGTGTCAATGACACTGTAGCTCACCTTGGGTGTGATAGAAGAGGGAGGGGGATATATAAAGCAAAAGTATATATGGGAGAACTCCCATTATATACTCTTGATAATGATATATGCATAAGTTTTGATGCGAAAGGTTTCAGATCTGAATGTCTGAAATCTTGACGAGAGATGGCGCTACACCTAAATGATCGCCATTTTGGTTTTCGAATATCGCGCAAATAAAAACAATAAAATATTCCAGTCAAATTAGGCTTATAGGGTCTATGTCCCCCAGGGTACTGCCGGAACGTACCCTGGGTACGGTCCGGTATACCGGAACGTATCCTGGTAACTATTCGATATGGTTAGGGTTAGGGTTAGGGTTAGGGTTAGGGTTAGGGTTAGGGTTAGGGTTAGGGAGTAGGCGTAGGCGACTCTCTAGACTCGTTAGTGGAATAGGCGTGGTACGGTCCGGCATATAATATAGTACCAGGGTACGTTCCGGTACACCGGACCGTACCCAGGGTACGTTCCGGCAGTACCCCAAGGGACATAGACCCTCTCAGCTCAAATTACTGTAACGACAAATCAAAGTGGAAAAAAGTGGGTTATGAAAATGGTTGCCCGGAGGCAAAAGTCACTTGCCCGAAAAACATAAAGAAATACATAAGGTATTTTTTCCTAATATGAATTTAAATGGTAAATAACGTAAACGAAGGTCCAACTAGTCAACATCCAGCATTTCACTTAACGGCACGTTAGACAGTTGAACAGCTGATACGAGTTTGTATACAAAATATATTCATGTTAGAACACAGCACGCAGTTTGTTTAAATTTTTAAATTTTTTAAGTGTCAGTTTATTATCAAAAACCCACCACACTCCCAATAAATTAATGAAATATGTCCAGTTTTATTTGGGGCTGGATCGTAAGCGCAGAGAATATAGCGGTGCATGCATGCAGATATAGCATGACAGCACAGTATACTTATAGCAGTGGTTCCCAACCTTTTGGACTCTTCGTACCCCTAATTTTTTTACGCTATCTCCTGGTACCCCTTCGCCCACCATGAGCAAAATGAAAAACCAACACTGATGTATTGTCATGAAAATTTTTCCAATCAAGCCGATGTCGATAGAGATGCCTGAATCACCCGCTGATTATTATATAGCACTACTTTTTTTAAATTGTCTAAGAGGCTTCCCAGGTACCCCTTGTGATTATCGCTGGTACCCCCGGTTGGGAACCAGGGACTTATAGACTGACAGCACAGTATACAGTGTATCTGTTTTTGTGTATTTCAGCAAAGAAAATCCTCGTTCACAGGTTGCAGTAGAGGGGCAAACATTTGAGATTTACGCTGATCACGTAATGACCATGCCTGGTCTGGGGGGCCGGGTTTACATGTTGCTGTGTGCATGTTTTGTATATCACTGTATCCACCGATTGTTTCATTCGCATTGTTTTTTTCATTCAAATCTTGATGAAGATGTTGTGTCTGTGCAAAACAATGCAAGGGATGGGTGGAAACAGAAAAATATCATTGTCTAGACATTCAACAAACAAAAATTGCTTGTCCGAACGTGCAAGTGCAATTTCAAGCTATACTTGCCAGGGGCGAATTTTGGTTGCCCCGGGCAAGCAGGCAAGCGGGTTTATCGCGCCCTGATATAGGTATGATTGTAGAGTTGTTGACCAGTTAGACGAAATAAACGTAATAGGACGTTGTAATATCTCACATAGGAGTAACAACTGTGTGATAAAAAAAAAATCAAAACCTGTGTGATATGTTTTGGGGCCAGTCCTCATTCATTCACATACCAGAAATGAGCAAAATCCATTGAACCTGAAATAACTTATGGCCATTTCCATTTTTGCTAAAAAGTGGCCGTGGCTCGAATGTAGGTCGACTGGCGTGCTCCAAAATAGGACGTTCAAACCTCTCCCATAGGAGTAACAACTATATGCAATTTGAAACATGTGGGTCAAACGGTTCTTGAGTTATCGTTGACCGTAGCCAAATGTTGACGGACGAACGGACGGACGTACGACGGACGACACCCCATGGCAATAGCTCATCTTGACGATGTCAAGGCGAGCTAAAAATCCACACTAGATACTGTAATCTAACACATGAGGGGGGGGGGCACAGGCGTGAAAAACAACCCACTCACCCTGATAGATGTTGATATTCTTCCTGTACAGAGGATCTTCCTCCAGATCATCCAGAAAATCATTGTAATCCCTAGAAAATGAGGCAAAAGGAATGATTGACTATTTTCATATTTAGCCAGCCACATTACGAGATATGCACAAATACAGTGCTAGGAATGTATAAGTTGTGCTAACAGCATTTAATATGCCCCTGTTTATCCTTAATAGTCACAGTAAAACAGTTAAACTTAATCGCTAACCTAAACAAGGATACATCGAGGCTACTGCTGCAAAAATCACAAATAAATTGTCACACATTTTTGTTGTGCAGAAACAGAGAATAGAAACAGAACAGGAATAATTAAGTGGACAGAGCCTTAGTACTGATCAAAATATATAATTCTGCCATCAATACGCAGGAAACGGTCGCTTAATGGCGTTTTTCTCTAGTTTGCAATTGAAAGAAGAACATGGCGACTGATGAACACTGTATAGTTGTGTAGGCGCTCGTGTAACTTGCCTCTCAATGCTGGACGTGTCATCCGCATCCTTCTGCAAATGCTTCAGCTTCCACTTTCTCTTCTGGATTCGCTTACGTCTGTTCAGGTACACCTTTTTGACGATGACCTGCAAGAGTGAAGCGATTTTGTCTCAACACACATACCAGATTGACGCCTACACAATTTAGATATTTAACATGCGCTGTTCTGGTTTGTTTAATTTAGAAATCTGTTGAAATGTCAGGCTAATAAATTACAAGCAAAACACGCTTAGCTGTATAGAAGTTTTCCATATACTGTAAGGTACAGTGCTTATTTGCTGTAACAACATGATGTAGTCTATCGTAACTATAGCTGCGTTCACACGAGGATTTCAGTACCGTACTGAGCGTTCACACGGTGCAAAATATTCAAGACTTATACGCGGCCTCCCAAGTATCGTACTGAAATACGAGGCTTATTCGGCGCTGAAAGTGATTCCGCGCTGAAACAACGGCACCATGCTGGCCGCGTATTGTCTGTCGTGTGAACGCAATTCGAGGCCTCGTAAGCCGTAAAACTGTAGTGCGCTACATTGATACTAGGCGGCGGAGTGTCGTTTTTCACTTAAGGCACATGCCATTGAAAAATTTTCTCCGAATTTCCTTTTGATAATCGTCTTCATCACCAAAGCATTCGTAATGTTCATCTGGATCATCATTAGCTCCAAAATAGGACGTTCAATATGGGAGCATAGCAGTAACAACTATAACCAATTTCAAACATGTGGGTCAAACGGTTCCTGAGTTATCGTTGACCGTAGCCAAATGTTGACGGACGGACGGACGTACGACGGACGACGACCCATGGCAATAGCTCAGCTTGACGATGTCAAGGTGAGCTAATAATAATAATATTAAAATTTGGTTTTCTATTCGTTAATTATTTCCCATACTCGCAGCTGATATTTTGGTGGTGAAATTCACAATCAAATATTAATCGAAATGAATTTAAATGCTAGTGTGTTCTTATTGTCATAGTATTCAGGATTGATCCTAATTTGCAGTAATTTGCCTGAGAAAACCTTGAGGCAACAAACAACGGCATGCTTGCAACGCGCAGAGTATATTTATAGCACGCCAGCATAAGGCACAACAAATCATGAGCAAAAATATAGCTATGACTAGGTAGTAAGGAATGCATTTAGAATTACACTGTATAAAAGGGTTCTGGGCTATTTCCACTATGTTCCTTGAGAAAATACATGATGAAACTTTTCTTTCAAGAGTAAAGTATATTCCTCGAGGGTAAACTCTATGAACATTTCAATGTTTTTACAAATGAAAGTGTCAATGACACTGTAGCTCACCTTGGGTGTGATAGAAGAGGGAGGGGGATATATAAAGCAAAAGTATATATGGGAGAACTCCCATTATATACTCTTGATAATGATATATGCATAAGTTTTGATGCGAAAGGTTTCAGATCTGAATGTCTGAAATCTTGACGAGAGATGGCGCTACACCTAAATGATCGCCATTTTGGTTTTCGAATATCGCGCAAATAAAAACAATAAAATATTCCAGTCAAATTAGGCTCATAGGGTCTATGTCCCCCAGGGTACTGCCGGAACGTACCCTGGGTACGGTCCGGTATACCGGAACGTATCCTGGTAACCATTCGATATGGTTAGGGTTAGGGTTAGGGTTAAGGGTTAGGGTTAGTGTTAGGGTTAGGGTTAGGGTTAGGGAGTAGGCGTAGGCGACTCTCTAGACTCGTTAGTGGAATAGGCGTGGTACGGTCCGGCATATAATATAGTACCAGGGTACGTTCCGGTACACCGGACCATACCCAGGGTACGCTCCGGCAGTACCCCAAGGGACATAGACCCTCTCAGCTCAAATTACTGTAACGACGAATCAAAGTGGAAAAAAGTGGGTTATGAAAATGGTTGCCCGGAGGCAAAAGTCACTTGCCCGAAAAACATAAAGAAATACATAAGGTATTTTTTCCTAATATGAATTTAAATGAGAAATAACGTAAACGAAGGTCCAACTAGTCAACATCCAGCATTTCACTTAACGGCACGTTAGACAGTTGAACAGCTGATACGAGTTTGTATACAAAATATATTCATGTTAGAACACAGCACGCAGTTTGTTTAAATTTTTAAATTTTTTAAGTGTCAGTTTATTATCAAAAACCCACCACACTCCCAATAAATTAATGAAATATGTCCAGTTTTATTTGGGGCTGGATCGTAAGCGCAGAGAATATAGCGGTGCATGCATGCAGATATAGCATGACAGCACAGTATACTTATAGCAGTGGTTCCCAACCTTTTGGACTCTTCGTACCCCTAATTTTTTTACGCTATCTCCTGGTACCCCTTCGCCCACCATGAGCAAAATGAAAAACCAACACTGATGTATTGTCATGAAAATTTTTCCAATCAAGCCGATGTCGATAGAGATGCCTGAATCACCCGCTGATTATTATATAGCACTACTTTTTTTAAATTGTCTAAGAGGCTTCCCAGGTACCCCTTGTGATTATCGCTGGTACCCCCGGTTGGGAACCAGGGACTTATAGACTGACAGCACAGTATACAGTGTATCTGTTTTTGTGTATTTCAGCAAAGAAAATCCGCGTTCACAGGTTGCAGTAGAGGGGCAAACATTTGAGATTTACGCTGATCACGTAATGACCATGCCTGGTCTGGGGGGCCGGGTTTACATGTTGCTGTGTGCATGTTTTGTATATCACTGTATCCACCGATTGTTTCATTCGCATTGTTTTTTTCATTCAAATCTTGATGAAGATGTTGTGTCTGTGCAAAACAATGCAAGGGATGGGTGAAAACAGAAAAATATCATTGTCTAGACATTCAACAAACAAAAATTGCTTGTCCGAATGTGCAAGTGCAATTTCAAGCTATACTTGCCAGGGGCGAATTTTGGTTGCCCCGGGCAAGCAGGCAAGCGGGTTTATCGCGCCCTGATATAGGTATGATTGTAGAGTTGTTGACCAGTTAGACGAAATAAACGTAATAGGACGTTGTAATATCTCACATAGGAGTAACAACTGTTTTGGGGCTAGCCTTACACATTCACATACCAAAATTTAACAAAATCGAATGAATTTAGATGGGCATTTTCATTTTTGCCAAAAAGTGGGCGTGGCTCGAAAGTAGGTCGACTGGCGTGCTCCAAAATAGGAAGTTCAAATCTCTCCCATAAGAGTAACAACTGCATGCAATTTGAAACATGTGGGTCAAACGGTTCTTGAGTTATCCTTGACCGTAGGCAGACACTGAAATGCAGCCATAGTAAAATTGCCAAAATCTACCTAATTTGCATAATTAAAAAAAAAAATCAAAACCTGTGTGATATGTTTTGGGGCCAGTCCTCATTCATTCACATACCAGAAATGAGCAAAATCCATTGAACCTGAAATAACTTATGGCCATTTCCATTTTTGCTAAAAAGTGGCCGTGGCTCGAATGTAGGGTCGACTGGCGTGCTTCCAAAATAGGACGTTCACACCTCTGCCCATAGGAGTAACACTATATGCAATTTGAAACATAGTGGGTCAAACGGTTCTTGAGTATCGTTGACCGTAGCCAAATGTTGACGCGAACGGGGCGGACGGACGTACGACGGACGACACCCCATGGCAATAGCTCATCATTGACGATGTCAAGGCGAAGCTAAAAATAGCACTAGATACTGTAACGCTAAACACATGAGGGAGGGGGGGCACACGGCGTGAAAAAAAACCCACTCTCCCCTGATAGATGTTGATATCTTCTTCGGCTGTTACAGAAGATCTTCCTCCAGATCATCCAGAAAATCATTGTATATCCCCTAGAAAATGAGGCAAAGGCATGATTGACTATTTTCATATTTAGCCAGCGCAGCATTACGAGATTGCACAAATACAGTGCTAGGAATGTATAAGTTGTGCTAACACATTTAATATGCCCCTGTTTATCGCTTAATAGTCACAGTAAAACAGTTAAACTTAATCGCTAACGCTAAACAAGGATACGATCGAAGCATCTGCTTCAAAAAATACAAATAATTGTCACACATTTTTGTTTTGTCAGAAACAGAAAACAGAAACAGAACAGGAATAATTAGGTTGTCAGAGCCTTAGTCGCTGAGCAGCAAAATTATATAATTCTGGCCTGCATCAATACGCAGGAAACCGGTCGCTTAATGGCGTTTTTCTATAGTTTTCAATTTAAAGAAGAAGCATGGCGACTGATGCAACACTGTATAATTGTGGCAGGCGCTGTGTAACTTGCCTCTCAATGCTGGACGTGTCATCGCATGCTTCTGCAAATGCTTAGCTTCTCTTTCTCCTTCTGGCTTTTTCGCTTACGTCTGTTTCAGGTACACCTTTTTGACGATGACTGCAAGAGTGAAGCGATTTTGTCTCAACACACGTACCAGATTGACGCCTACACAATTTAGATATTTAACATGCGCTGTTCTGGTTTGTTTAATTTAGAAATCTGTTGAAATGTCAGGCTGATAAATTACAAGCAAACCCGCTTAGGCTGTATAGGCAGTTTTCCATATACTGGTAAGGTACAGTCCTTATTTGCTGTAAAACATGGTGTAGTCTATCGTAACTATAGCTCGGCGTTCACACGAGGATTTCAGTACCGGTACTGAGCGTTCACACGGTGCAAAATATTCAAGACTTATAAGCGGCCTCCCAAGTATCGTACTGAAATACGAGCTTATTCGGCGCGGAAAGTGATTCCGCTGCTGAAACAACGGCACCATGCCTGGCCGCCGTATTGTCATGTCGTGTGAACGCAATTCGACGGCCTCGTAAGCCGTGAAACTGTAGTGCTGCTAACATTGATACTAGGGCGGGCGGAGTGTCGTTTTTTCACTTAAGGTCATGCCATTGAAAAATTTTTTCCGAATTTCCTTTTGATAATCGTCTTCATCACCAAAAGCATTCGTAATGTTCATCTGGATCATCATTTTGGTGTAATTTTACTGAAAAACTGCCATAAAACACTGACTCATGGGCGGCCCCATCATGAAAAACACTTCCCTGTAAATGAAGAAATTATTTACTATTATACCTAGCCAGCTAAGCTCCGATTCTCTGTGTGAACGCTGCGGGTTGTGTTAGCCACGGTATTTCAGCCCGAATTCAGCACCAGATAAGTACGGAACCAGCGAGGCCGTGAATCTTGTGTGAACGTAGCTTATATGTTATTAGTCCTACAATGTGATACAATTGCTCACCACGTCAGGTATCTTGTCTGGCGAAACTGTGCTCAGGTGATGGTCGTTCACATTCGAGTTGGACAAGTCGAACCCTGAAAAAAGTACATATTCCAGTGGGTTACGATGCCGAGAGCATTTTACGAAGAGGCCGCGTGAAATACACCGCATGGCGACGGAAAGCATGATGAAGCCAATGATCACCTAACCCAAGCACACTGTCACGCGGGATGCAGTAAGTGTCCGAGATGCGTCCTGCAGTGGTACTGGCTGTCACTCATGCCCAGCTCAGTCGCCTTGCACACGTACACATCCGCCAAGATGTGCTGGAAAAACCAACGTCCACATTCATCAGCAGCGGCAATGGAAAAATAAGGGCAAGCACATCCGCAACTACGATAGAACGAACAAAGCAAACTGGCCTGCAGTGACGCGTAGACAGTGGTTCTTTAACACCTTTTTTGAGTCATGGACTCCTTGAGAATGCTGTGAAAGCTACAGACCGCTCCCCAGAAAAATGCACATAAGCACATTAAACACAATAATTTTTATGTGCCTGGTTCACAGACGCCCCTGAACCGCATCCACGGGACCTCTTTGGGGTGCCGTGACCACAGGTTAAGAACCCCTGCTCTAGAACAATTCTTGAATTAAGACACCTACGCATCCACCATCAGAACCATCCTCCGGCTACAACACGCATCGTTGGAGTAAGCTAATAAGATGATGTAACACGAAAGTGAGAACACACCGACCTTCCAGAATCAACGCACCCTTTGGAGAGATGGGCTTCGTACGTGTTTCCTGTCCTTCTCAGCTTATCTGCTCCACATCCATCACGACAATATTCGGTCAGCTTTTTCGAGCTGCAGATTGTACCGAAGCGGCTTCGGCCAGAACACGTTGGCTGGGAACTCGGGCACTGAAAGACGATTCGAAATGCCACTTCACTAATGTTGTCAGATTGAAAGGTTAAGAGTACAAAACGCTTCAATATGCAGATCACGTGTGCCATAGATATAAAATCAAACACACGTAAGCAGCCATGCTTTACAGTAATGAATAACCGTTTTATAATTGGCTACAAAAACAGTTATTGTAATTCATGATAAATATATACAGCAAATTCTATAGCAAACACATGTTCATGGTAGCATTAATAGTAGTAATCAGTCCCCCACTTTAATATATTCAACAACAACGCAGCAGCGCATATGTAAACTGCAAAATGTGACTTTGGTATATGTATAGTCTACGGCATCATAACACTACGGTTTAATGGCATTATTAACCGTAACCTCTAGGTGCATGGTGGAGGTACTATACTTGCAGTGTGTTCGGATCAATAAGGGTGATGTTGCTAGTGACTCGCAGGCAAATACAGATCTGAGTGATGTTTCCGTACTGCTGTGCCAGCTTCTTGGATATGCACACTACATCATCCTGTAGTAAAGCACAATGTTACACACAGGCACTACTCATTACTTTTATATCAAGAGTAGATAATAACACATTGTGTTACACACACGTGTTATTATCTACTCTTGTTTTATATAGAATATAGAAACACAGAGAGACTTGAATACCTTCATTCAATCTGTTTGGACTACTTTTAACTGTAGTCATTTATTAAAAATGACAATGGATTTACAGGACATATGTTCTGGATTGCTAATGGAATGTTATTTTTTTGATTTTTATTCTTCTATAATTCTCATTAATAACAGATTTTATTGGGCTGAAATTTACATCCAGTAACAGTAATCTACCCTAGATACAATAATGTAATCCAACAAGAGTAGAGTTACAACGCGAGCCTATTCTTTTCTTTGCAGGAGCCCCCGAGTGATTCACTCAGGGCAGATTTATGGTGCGTTTTTTCGAGACTACAACTTCCAAACTGGGTTTTTCTAAACACGAACGCTTTCTCGCCGCTATCGCTGGGACTTACTATGTATCACAAATATCCTGTATTAAACTATTATAACCTGTTACAAAATTTCTAAGTGACGAGGGCCAAATATTATGAGCGCGCTTCTCTGTGCACTGTGACGTACCAGATTCCCAATGCGCATAGAGTTTTGGCTAACTTCGTCATGACGTCATGACTGACAGCAGGCATCCATGATACATTCGATCTGGAGCCGAAGTTAGCCGAAACGCTATGCGTGATTGGGAATCTGTATGTCACAGGTCAACAGAAATAGCACTCGAAATATCGCCGCTCGTCACTTAGAAATTTTGTAACAGGTTATAATAGTTTAATACAGAGTATTGTGATACATAGTAACAAGAGCGTATAAAGAAGGAGAGCGTACAAACGGTGAAATGCTGGAAACCATGCTGCAGTATTAGTCGATATTAATAAACTTTTGCCCGTTTTATTTTGACGATTCTTTGGGCAGTATTATTGATCAGCTGTCCTACCTTGCTAAATATAAAACAAACCGCTTGTCCCTTACGATGCCTCTACGCTGAGATAATGAGCGGTGAAAATCTGGTATTTTCACACGAAAACCGACTCCGAGATCAGTGTTTACTGAACTGTCTCTCGTTCTGGTACAGTACGTTCTGGGAAACTCGCGTGTTTCTGTCATTCATTGACAATGAAATTTATTTTCCTTCTACTACTATCTTTTCTCGCATTTCCAGTCATTGACGCACCGCCATTAACTGCCACAAAAATCTCTTGTTATTTATCGCCATGGTGATGACACACCCGTTTACGCTGGATGTAGTAACGCTGTAGTAATAACGTATCGAGTCAGCGCTACACAGTGGCGACCGAAGCACATACAGTCCACAAACGAGAGACAGTTGCAGTAAACACGCTGATCTCGAGTCGGTCTTCGGCAAAAATACCAGATTTCCCCCGCCCATTATCTCAGTGTAGAGGCATCGTAGGGACATGCGGTTTGTTTTATATTAAAGCGATCATTGCGAGTTTTTTTCAGCATTTTTTAGTGTTTATTCTCACTCTCATGATGCCTACCGTTGTTGCTTGAGTAACAGTATTGTTTGAAATAACAATAAAATGTCTTAGAACCTCATGCAAAGACAAAATCATGCACGATTACAATTTTGCGTTCTCTGTTGTTTTCGCTGTCATGTCTCGCACTTTCTCGCGGTACCGCGAGACGTCAACAAGGGTGCAGTAATGCAAAAATCGCACCAGAGATATTTTTGGTCAGATGTAAACACAGAGGTCCATAGTATTAGTAGCGTAACACAAACAGGAATGTAGGCCTACGGTAAGTTTCAACCTCATAAATATTAGTCTTCAAAAGTCCTAGGGACTATAACGAAGATGGAGAGAGAAGTGGACCAAATCAATGTATCAACACTGCGGATTATTACACACAAATAGATTTGTTTTAATTATGTTCGCTTGTCTGAGACGCCATTTGTGATTTTTGAAAGTCCTGACTTGAAAAAATTTATTGCTGGTATAATGTGATCAAATCAATTTTTCTATGCTATAACTGCATAAAATATTGGTGTTTTGAATGTTGGTGTAATCAGTGATATTTTCGCTGTCAGGTGAGACTATATTCAGCTATATTTAGTTTTTTTCTGAGCAAAATTCTCGCAATGATCGTTTTAACAAGGTAGGACAGCTAATCAATAATACTGCAAAGAATCGTCAAAATAAAATGGGGAAAGTTTATTAATTCGACTAATACCGCAACATGGTTTCAGCATTACACCGTTGTACGCTCTCCTTCTTAATACGCTCTCGATAGTAAGTCCCAGAAGAGCGGAGAAAGGTTCGTGTTTAGAATAAACCCAGTTTGGAAGTTGTAGTCTCGAAAAACGCACCATAAAACCGCCATGAGTAAATCACTCAGGGGCTCCTCTCCTTCAAAGAAAAGAATAGGCTCGCATTGTAACCCTTCTCTTGTTGGGTTACATTATTGTATCTACAATCTACCCCACCTTGCAAATAGGGATAATCTCCACTGAGAAGGTGTACTTGTAAGCATACGTGTTGTTGTGTACATCATGTGAAATCAGTTTCTGTGACGTGGCATACCTGTGAATTTATCCAAATGTCAATTTAGTAGAGTATGATAAAGACTCTTAAAAACTGTTAGCACAAATAGTAATCAAAATGTCAATTTTATTCTTTCGTGCCAGATATTCCATTTTCGTAACCCAAGTGATTTCATTAACAATCTTACCGAATTGGAACCACTGCCTGCATGAAATCCACAATTTTTCGGCCACCATCCTTCGATGCGTAAAAGAAATCCAAACCATCTGTAGAATTGATTTGAGTAGATCAGTCAGTGAATGTCAAACAAGAGCCACAGAGCGTCTGGGCTCATGCATCGGAGGTGTTGCTACGGTTATAAGCGTAACGTTTAAGTTGTGCGTAGTGACACCTTTGTTAGGCGCAGATATACAGATACGCAGTTGCGTACACATCATTTCAGCAACCTTCTGCATTCTGCATACCTCCCAAATCCCATTGGTTGATACAAATCGCGTGCCTGAAACTCCTGTTTTATGGTGCATTGTGACCCTAACCCTATTAAAAATAAAAATTAATTAATTGTTGTAAAAATTATTTGTTGTTATTAAATTGTTGTAAATAAATTATGTAAATATTTGCGTTAATTGGGAAAAAATAGTTAAATAGATAAAGATAGAAAAATACAGAAAACAGGTAAATAATAAAAAATCAGATGGGATTCAATCCAACAACCTTTGAGCCGTGACGCCTGTGCTGTACGCATTCGGCTATCGATGCTTATTGGGTTTCTAGATTATGGATGTGCCATGAATATGACAACACTGTGACGTCATTGAGGCAGTTCAGGAATCCATGTTTAACCCTCCTCTTGAGGGTCAAAAGGTTATCAGACACTTACTCTTCGCACGTCAGTGGAAAGCACATTTCATGGTCCTTTCAATAAAGTGATAAAAATGGTAGGTCAGCACTGAAACAAAAAGTTTTTCACTCTGTCCTTTAGGCCATGTCCTTAGAAAATGTCTGATATCTGGCCTTTCCCCCACTGTCCTTTGCCCTGTGACCTCCAATTTCGCACTGGTGATGGGTTTCCTGCCATCACACTATACACCGAATATTAAGAGCAGAGGTCGAGCCGTTAAGATTTGTGCCGCAATTCCGTATTTCCTCCTATACCTTCAAAATTTCCCAAAAACTATTTCACTTCCGTTCACACATCTTGACCTTTGACCCCCAAATGTGTCACCCCGAGTCCTTTTCACAACCCCCCCCCCCGGCGTCCCGAATATCTTGACCATACGTCGAGGGGTTAAGATTTGTGCCCAACTGTTGACGGACGGACAGACGGTCATGCGATTCTACAAGCTGCATCCGACTACGTCAGATGAGCTAAAAACATTAACTTTTATTTGTAATTAGAATGTAGATTAATTAAGTTTGAAAATATATACGTATGAATGTCCATACAGACAATTAATCCACAACCTACTGCCAAATGAGTATGACTATTCTACCGATAACAATACTGTAGCATTTCAGGTAGATTAACTTTATCAACTTTTAGTTTTAGCAGTGATTAGATTGCCTTTTCAGGCACGCATGAACTAACCATGAGTGCGTTCGATCTTTAATGTATCTGTATGAGCTTTATGCTTCATGATGAGCTGCTCCAGGTAAAAGAAGGTCTTTTTGTGTTCAGCCTGACGATAAACCAAACATCACAAAATGAAACTATGGACCTCACCTGACTGGAAAAGCATTTCTGTTCACCTTCTAAACTGATCTAGCAATAAAACCTAATAATTAGACGTGCATTTACTAAGTATTAGCTAAAGTTAAAACTAAACCCAACAGGAGAAATGAAGAGAATGACTAGTATTGACTACCTATATTATATACCCTGTTGATGTAAGTGCTAGGACACAGCAAAGCTTCACCACATTGACAAACGCAATACATAGAAATGGTATCAACAAAGTATATCAAATATAGTCGTTTAATTTCTATTCCGATAACCATCCAACGGATACAAATGATAGTATTAGTTTCTGTATAAATTTACAACTTGTACGGCATTTAATTTTTATTTTTTCATACTAGCCAAAAGTTACACACGCACACATGCACGCATCTACATGGAAATATATTAATATATGTAGCATCTACACCATACACATCTGACTATGTGTCTCGTGTGAACATGTTGTCACGAGCTACGTTTTACTACACATACACGTAATTCTTCTGTACAGTGATCCTTACCTTCTGTCTCACTTGCACAACAGCCTTCCAAAAGTCTTTGGCCTCCACCCTGTGACAATCAGTGCACATCTGGTTATTCACCACATACTCAACTATGAATACCTGCTGCAGGATAGTACCTCCCATAACCTAATGGCAAAAAAAATGCAAATGTTCACACAAGTCAATATACAATGAAGTCATCCAAAATTAGATACGATTTGTCGTCAAAGATACGCCCACGCACACATATGCACATGCTCAGACAATTTATGATTTGCTTGTCTCTCGTTTCAAATTTGAATACAAAGTTTGTTTCACACACACGATTTATAGAAAGATGATACTTTGGGCTAACATACCTCTTTCTGAATTGTCAGTTTCACCTTGACCCTCTTTGAGTGGGGTTCTGTCCACACAAACCCAGCATCGATTAGCCTCACCTGAAATAGACAGCAAAATAGCAAGTTTTTCATAAATAAGTAACATATTGCTTTTCACTAAATTGCATCCCATGAATATAAACATTGAAAGTTCAACTTCAATATGTACGTACATGAAGATGACTATCCATACAGTACAGACACAGTCATGATTTAATAGATACAAAATATAAAAAGATGGGTGTAAAGTTTAGTATATCATGATACCAGCTTTTCTTTTAGTTATCCCATTTTGCTGGTATCAACAGGAATGCATTGATCACTAGTACTGCCTATTAATGCAAAATGTTTTAATGTTTCTTTTTAAATAGAGTCAGTCATTTTTCTTCTATACCTTACTGATGCCTTTTAATTTCTTCAAGCAAATACTCAACAACTCTCTGGATTCGAGCACTGCTTTGATCCATTGCGCGGGTGGTTGTAAATACCTATAAAACACAGCTGGTTCTATAACATACATTTAGCACATTAAAAACAGCTTAGAATAGTTTATTGGTTTTATGACTAGCGACTGTTTCTCATTTCCACCCCAGCAAATATGTTGCATATTAATTAAAGTCTGATCTTCTTGATCATGAATATACTTGACGGTCTAGACACATAGATATACATTTAATAATGGTAGTCTACCTCTCACAGTTCCTACAGAAGTAAAGCGTTGCCTGTTTAGGTATACCCTCAGTGATGTCCACTTGCGTTCGTAGGCACGCAACACACATATTAGCAGGGTTTGGCTCTATAGGTGTTCCACACTCGCAACATAATCTACAGATAAAGAAAACCAAACTATATATTAGAGCCTACTTATACTCCGACCATTAATTGCTAACACTGCTACCAGCTGTCAAGCCAGCCATCACGAATTCTGACTGGTATAATTCAAGCTTGCAGATATCCAATAATGGCATAGTCTATGTCTATCTATAGCTTAAATTCTAACCAACATTTATATTCCAGCTCTGTAGATAGAAAGATTACAACTTACAATATATTTAGAAATTGAAATATTATGTCCGTTCGCAACAACATATTTTAGATGTTGATAGATTGTGATACATATATACAGCAATCACTGAAATTGAGCAACACCAACAAGAGGAAAAGAATCACTGTGATCACTGATACTAACAGAGGTCCCAAGTTGAGAAAAACCAATAAAGGGATCACTTGTGACAATGGTCCATTGCCGTTTTTTCGCGATGCGCAAAAACAAGAAAATAGTTGTGGCGGGCTACGACATGTGTTTGTCGCGGCGCACCACCATTTCTTATAAAGTATACATCTAAAATAAAATGCAAATTCATGTTAATTTATGGTTTCACATTTATTTATTATTGCTACCACGGCAAATTTAGTAATTTACTGATGTAAATTTTAAAATATGGCTGAAAGATGTTACGACCGAGACTTTCTGGACTCTTAATGGGACACCGGGACAAGCATGTCGCACCGGGACACTTGGGACGTCTGGATACTGATAGGAGTAAATTAATCGCTGTGGCTATATGTCCGGCAGCCGGGCACGGTCTTCGATTTCCTAAATGCCCGGCAGTTCATTAAGGCTCATGCCATTGAAAAATTTTCTCCGAATTTCCTTTTGATAATCGTCTTCATCACCAAAGCATTCGTAATGTTCATCTGGATTATCATTTTGTGTAATTTTACTGAAAAACTGCCATAAACAACTGACTCATGGGCGCTGCCATCATGAAAAACATTTCCCTGTAACGGAGAAATAATTTACTATTATACCTAACCAGCTAAGCCTCGATTCTCGTGTGAACGCTGCGGGTTGTGCTAGCACGGTATTTCAGCCGAATTCAGCACCAGATAAGTACGGAACCAGCGAAGCCGTGAATCACATGTGAACGTAGCTTATATGTTATTATCCTACAATGTGATACATTGCTCACCACGTCAGGTATCTTGTCTGGCGAAACTGTGCTCAGGTGATGGTCGTTCACATTCGAGTTGGACAAGTCGAACCTGAAAAAAGTATATTCCTGTGGGTTACGATGCCGAGAGCACTTTACGAAGAAGGAGCGTGAAATACACCGCATGGCGACCGAATGATGACAGCCAATGATCACCTACCCAAGCACACTGTCACCGGGATGCAGTAAGTGTCCGAGATGCGTCCTGCAGTGGTACTGGCTGTCACTCATGCCCAGCTCAGTCGCCTTGCACACGTACACATCCGCCAAGATGTGCTGGAAAAATCAACGTCCACATTCATCAGCAGCGCAAAGGAAAAACAAGGGCAAGCACATCCGCAACTATGATAGAACGAACAAAGCAAACTGGCCTGCAGACGCTAGAACAGTGGTTCTTAACCCTTTTTGAGTCATGAACTCCTTTGAGAATCTGGTGAAAGCTACAGACCCCTCCCCAGAAAAATGCACATAAGCACATAAACACAATAATTTTTATGTGCCTGGTTCCCAGACCCCCTGAAGCCCATCCACAGACCCCAAAGACGTCCGTGGACCACAGGTTAAGAACCCCTGCTCTAGAACAATTCTTGAATTAAGACACCTACACATCACCGTCAGAACTATCCTCGGCTACAACACGCATCGTTGGAGTAAGCTAATAAGATGATTAACACGAAGTGAGAACACACGACCTTCCAGAATCAACGCACCCTTTGAGAGATGGGCTTCGGTACGTGTTTCCTGTCCTTCTCAGCTATCTGCTCCACATCCATCACAACATATTCGGTCAGCTTCTTCGAGCTGCAGATTGTACCGAACGGGCTTCGCCAGAACACGTTGGCTGGGAACTCGGCCACTGAAAGACGATTCGAAATGCACTTCACTAATGTTGTCCGATTGAAAGGTTAAGAGTACAACACGCTTCAATATCAGATCATGTGTGCCATAGATATAAAATCAAACAACGTAACTGCCATGCTTTACAGTAATGAATAACCGTTTTATAATTTTACAAAAACAGTTATTGTAATATCATGATAATATATACACAAATTCTATAGCAAACACATGTTCATGGTAGCATTAATAGTAGTAATCAGTCCCCCACTTTAATATATTCAACACAAAGCAGCAGCATATGTAAACTGCAAATGTGACTTTG